TCAAATATCTTTTCATGTTGTGCCAATTTACTATTCACATAATTTAAAATTTCATTTTTGAGAGATTGATTTTTTTCTAACTTAGTTACAATATATGCCACGGGAAACTCATTTTGACATTGTTCAGAATAATAGCCTATTACTGCTGCATCAAGTATTTTAGGATGTGTAAGTAAAATTTCTTCTAGTTCAGCTGGGGCAACATGAATTCCCTAACATTTAAATTTTAATTTGATTATCAAACCAAGAATATTTTCAAAAAAGAAGCAAAAATGAAAAGATGCGTATTATTATACATTATGTTTGATCAATTCTTTCTTTCTATCAACTATAAAGTAATTTCCTAAAAATTGCATTAGAATTGGATTAGTATTATATTCAAATAATGGTTTAAGTAATAAAGAATTGCTGTGAAAGACTAATTAAGAACCTTGGTTGTCAACATATGCGATGTCCCCCGTGTGAAGAAAGCCATCTTTGTCAAAGATGGCATCTGTAGCATCTTTATTCTTGAGATAACCCTATTTATTAATAGATTAATAGTAATCACATGATGCATTATTCGAATAATTTTATAAGATGTACAGTACCTTCATGGCAGTTGGCCCACGAATGCATAGTTCGCCAGGATTATTAGGTCCTAACTCTAGAATATAATATAAAGTATCAGTAAATTTTTGTATCAATAAATTTATTTATACTACTGTATTACTAGAAAATAGGAGCGCATAAATTACCATGACCATCATTAGATAATATTTTTGCGCTCATATTTGGCATGAGCAATCCACAGGAACCTATCATAAAAAAGCCATTATTAAAATATAATTTAATCAAATTATGATTTAAACAATGTGAATAAACTTTGCAAAAACCTTTAATATACCTGAGACCATATTATTCGAGTCAGAATAATGTGAAATTGTTATCTCGGTAAGGCCTTTAATATGTAGCACAAATAAAATTCATTTAATAAATATAATGTCTGATTATATTAAATGAAAATACCATATATTACTGATTAAAAGAAACCGAAATTAAGGCAATCTTGCCAGACAATAATTCTGACGGAGGATATTATATTTACTCATAATTGGACCTGAACGTATACAATATTTTCACTTTATATTGTAATACATAGTTGCTTTATTTGGTAATATACGGTAATCGACCTGTTTATTATTATTATTTTTACCATAAGCTTGTTTAATCGGTATATTAAAGATATTAAAAAATACACGTTCAAGTTCATTTCCTAACGGAGCTGCTGCGGACACGATAACCTTAACACTTGATAGGTCATATGTTTTTGCAATCGGATCTTTCACAAGTGTAAGTATAATCGGTGGTGTGGCGTGAATGTAATTAAGTTTGTACTTTTGGATGCAACTGCAAAACGTCTTTACATCGAAGTTAGGCAAAATAACAGTGGTGGCACCCTTTTTAATATTTACAAAAAAAATTTATTATAATTAGAATGATAACTCCAACATTTTCAAATCTTAATCCGATAAAATAACATACACGAATAAGAGCTATATGGACAACACATATTAATGCGTATACATGGGAGAATGGCTATTTTGAAAAAAGAAATCCATAAATTTAACGCTAGATATTTATTTTTTAAAAAAACCCAATAAATAAATAAAAAGATACCATTACTCCCATGAGAATGCTGTGTGAGCTGATATCCTTTTCAAATTCTCTAAATTGCACTAAACTAGCAACCAAATTCCTATGTGTGATTTCAACACCTTTCTGTTTTCCAGTAGTTCCAGAGCTATAAAGCATATAAACCGTCGTTGATATTGTTTCTTTTGGAGTATAAGTAACTGGTTCGATTTCATGTTCTTTAATTAACTCTGAGCGAAAA